ACCCAAGGGAGTTTTAATCTTTACGCTATAAGCTGACAGCGTTTGTTCATTTGTTTTACGAGGGCAACCCTTCGGCCGTAAATCGAGTATTCAGCCCAATACACCATTATCACGCAGCGCTATCTTGGATTGCGTAGCGCACTAAATCGAGGCTGAACGGGCCTAAGGTATAGCGTTGTGTTACATTATATAGTTTTGAGTGAAGATTACAAGCAAGCATGGCCCACAATCATTACTGCGTTGATTTCTGTAGTAACGAAAAACGAAATAAAAGTGGTATTTAATTTTTTTTCAACTTTCCTTCGAATGATTTATTGAGATCGAAATGGATTGCCGCTACAAGGTGAGATGAGAGCCAGATTTCGTCGTGACCGGTGAGCTATTAGATGCGCGCGTTATTAGCGATCGACTTTCCCTTTCGATTGAAGACTCAGCCAGCACTTTTTTATGACAGTTGAACCGGATTGAACCGACAAAGAATTGACGTCACTCCTCTTCTGCTTGCAATTTGTTTTGTCGGCGCTCTTTACCCGCCTTGGTCCACGCAAACTGCGATGGCACAATAGTCACATACATATCCTCTGGCTTGAAGTGAGCCGAGCACACCAGAGTAGAACCTTCCTTTATCTGGAAAATTCGTTTAAATCCGAAAATTATAAGCAAATAAACGAGGGAGAATCTCATTATCACGTATTACCAAATCCGAGTTAATAAAAACATACAAATCACAACTATCTGCCTTTGATAGCTTGAGCCGAAAGTAAAATAAAAAAACATCACGTACAAAGAATAGTACATTCATTAATTGAATCCAGTGGATATGAAATGAATAAATATTTTATAGATAAAAAACCGCTGGCTGAGTCTTCAATCGAAAGGGAAGGTCGATAGCTAATGGCACGTGCATCTAACTGCTCACCGGTCACGACGCGACTCTTACCTCAAAATCTGGCCCTTCATCTCGCCTTATCGCGGCAATCCATTTCGATCCCAATAAATCATTCAAAGGAAAAGTTGAAGAAAGATAAATTCTCACCCCTTTCATTTCGTTGGTTGTTGCTACAGAAATTAACACAGCAATGATCGTGGGCCATGCTTGCATGTAATCTCAAAACACTGTAATGTAACACAACCCTCTACCTCATGCCTGTCCAGCCTCGATTTGGTACGCCACGCAATCCAAGATGGCGTGATAAAGGTAAATTACGTGATAAAGGTGAATTGCGTGATAAAGGTGTATTGCGTGATAAAGGTGTATTGCGTGATAAAGGTGTATTGCGTGATAAACGTGTATTGCATGATAAAGGTGTATTGCGTGATAAAGGTGTATTGCGTGATAAAAGTGTATTGCGTGATAAAGGTGTATTGCGTGATAAAGGTGTATTGCAAAAAGAGACAATAAAGCCCCTCAATATGCGGTTATGATTATGACCTCGAGCCGAGGTCATTGAGCGGATTGTCTGGATATGATGGTTTCGAGTTAACTTTTTGTCGCGTCATACTGTAGCCATTAATCATGGCTGTAACGCACTGTAACATGACCAAAAGAGAGAACATTGCTGAAATCGTTCGTGGTATACTATGGCACTGAAATCTCCTATTGAGATTAGGCATTACTAAGAGGTAATGCGTGCAAACGTGAATTTAACAGAACATACCAATTGTAAAATTTTATTTCAATTCCATTTACGAGTAAACGTGACATCTTTTGTTTGTGAAAATCTGAAATGGGAAAGAGGTTGGGGTGATCCCGAATTAAAAAAAAACTCTGTCCTTCCGCTGTTTAAGGCGTAAGAGATTGAAAGAAGCTTTGTCGCCATGTCTTTCATAGCTTATAAAAGTCTACTCCCTGAGATAACTCGAAAATTCGATCACCATGATTAAAGACTGCTGATCGAGAAATGCGGATTGGAGGAATGTGGTTGTTTCACCTAGAGAGCTTGCATTTTTAGGTGATGGGTGGACTCCTCAAGTAAGAGATCGAAGACTCTCCGACTCAATGTTGTCTGTGAGACCGAAGGAAGATGAAGGGGAGCTTTGAATGTTTTCTTTTTGCACGTTCAATAATTGAAATGAAGGTCTTTTGTACATAGTAAGTGACTTAAAGGCTATTGGAATGGTTAGCGCAAGTTTCTTGCTAAGAAGCAAAAAGAGATCATCAAAACTTGATCAAACAAATTTATTTATATCATATTTTGGTGACGATAGTAACGGGAAATATTTAAAATTTCGCCCCTATTCAGCAGGCTTTCGTTTTATTATCTGTGATCCTTTGACTTGAGATAAAACATCAGCTATAAAAGGCTACGACTTTTCTGGTATAGTTTTACGAAGAAAATCACCGACGCCGATGAGAATGCTCTGCCACCAATGAAAAATTATTTAGATCCCAGACAGTCATGATTTTATTTGATTTTGACTCAACTTGTGATAGGGAGGAATCCTGATATAGTTTGCCATTTTGGTGGTCCTGAAGGGAAGTCTACGTCCCTTTAATAGAAAAGACGCTCTAAAGGGGTTTCGATTTAAAACAAAAACGGGATATTTAGTGGTGACTTCCGAATAGGAAGTCGGTTTTTACAGGTTTGACAATGTAGTTTTAGTGTGGATAACATCAGTCAATAGGTTTTTGTTATTATGTTAGAAGAATTATTCTCTAACACTCGGTTGAATTTTCTTTATTTTCTGGTTGAGCTCCTGGTACAATTATTACTCTCGGGAACTAGCCCAGTATTGACCTTATTCACCACAGTTCAACTTATTTCTTTCGACATAAGTCCACACTGTTCTGCTTTGCTATATTCTCTGATTGAAAGATGCTGTGCACCAGCTTATAAAGGTGACACCAAAGATGACACCTCTAAGCTGTCAAACTTCTTACATCGCGATCGCTCCGTTTCAGCCAGCGAATCACCTTAGAGTACGTACGACAGTTCCTGCATACTAAGTATGCACCTTCGAATTGTTTACGCAATCACAAAATCATCTTCTACCTTAAATTTCTTAGTTTTACGGTTAAGGTCGGCCAGAACGAAGACAAGGTTGATAATACAAAAATTATAATTAACCTATCGGCAGAATTGAAATTACGCTTTTACGAGAAAATAGCCCTAGATGATTGTTATATAACAACAGAGTAAACAGAAAATTCGGAGGTACCGCCCCTATGAAAACTACGTGTTATTCGCATAAGTTATATAATTACAAATTCAGTGCGGAGATGAAAAAGCATAAGCTATTTACAATCAGAGTCACCTTTTTAAGAAGAGTTGTTGAAGGTGTTAACTTAAAATTTAAGAAATATTCTGGAATCGTTAATTTGACTTAGAATTTGACCATAAAAACCCGTCTGAAAGGAATCAATAGTATAAGAAGCAGGAATTTCCAGGAATTCCTGTGCGAGGTTAACTTTTACCAAAGAGATTTACAACTTGAAAATTGACATAATTAAAAACATAGCTTATCACAAAATAGTACAACAAGATCTAATCACCGTAGAAACGGAGCAACTGTTTCCGTACCAAATTCACAACCGCAATAAGAAAAAGGTGAAAGAAATTGTACTTAGATGAGATCGCAAAAAGGAATAAGAAATAGTCAACCTGTCTTATTATAATTTTTGTATCGAATGGCTTAAAGTAATATAATATTTTCATTCTTTTTCCCAACACCAATATAAGGAAACCCTTACAATATTTCAGATTAAATATAGTTCTATTTTTATCGTTTAACAATTACTTACTTCAGAGAAAAATATGACTTATGGAATCCATTACACTTAACTGCGAAGACTGGTGATATCACCATCATTGAAGTGATTCTGTTACGTGGCCGAGACATCAATGGCAACACTAGTTTGACGTTTGCTGGTGCATGTGGCAGAAGTAAAGCTGTGGATTACGTGCCACACAATAGACCAGAAACCTCTAAGAGAGGCTGGTTGGGAAGAAATTCGCTGCATGCAGCGTTACAGGCAGGCAATGTTGCAGACTTTGCTTTCATATATTTTATTTTTATTTCATATTTCGTTTAGAGATATATTCAAGAGGTGATGAAGGAAACACGCTTTTAACAATTGCTGCCCGATTTTGCAGGAGTGAAACCGTCACCTACATCTCCTAGAGAAACTCCTGTGACAGAAAGTCATGGAAGAAATTCTCTACACATAGCTATGCGCGGCGGTTATGGCCCCATCATCGAAACCATGCTCTCAAATGGCATTATCTTGATATCAATTCAAAAATTGGTTTATATGGTGAGACACCGTTGGCAGTTGCAGCCCTATTTAATAAGAGTGAAGCTGTCCACTATCCTCTAAAGGAGGAAGCCGATCTATCCATTAACACCTTGCTCGGAGCAAATGCACTGCACTCAGCTATACTGGGCGGTAGTTGCGTCATCATCGAAAAACGTACTGTCACGTTCTCGTAGAATCAAGTCCAAAGACAATCGTGGTTCGACACCATTGTGATGTTCGTCGCTCAGTATGGAAACGATGAAGTCGTTCATAGTCTTTAAGAGAGGGGAGTAGATACCACTCTGTAAAGCCGCCCTGGAAGATTTGCTGGTGTTGGTTTCCACTTTTCGCACTGCTTAGAACTTTTGTTTCATTTAAGATACTAAGGTTGATTGCATTATACCAATGCCGAGGTTTCTGTCTGAAGACATCAAAAAAACTTTTAGCCTTTTTATCATCCAAAACAGTCAATTAATCAAGGTAACACCGCTTCAGTAAAATATCTAATGAAACTCTAACCTACAGAAATGTACATGCATTAACATTGACCTACGGCCAAGGCGCTCATGTAAGTACCAATGCGACTGGATATCGATCATCCGACGTTTTGCTTGGGTCGAAAGGGTTCACCTTCCCTTCTTCCTAAATATATCTAGCTCTGCATTCTTTTCAAGCCTCTAAATGAAAATAAGACTCTTGCTAGATTTTCGAGAACTCTAAATTTTATTTAAGATTATATCTAATAAGGAGAAAAATCTGTCAGTAAAATGCACTTTAAATCGGCTACCTCGTCCATTTGCGTCGTAGTGTACACTGTTCATCACTATGATAGGAGTATGGAAAATTAAAGAGTATAATCAAGGAAAGAGAGGAACAGTGTTTTAGCGTATGCAGCTGCTCCCGAAGTCACCCCCAAAACATTTTAATGGCACTAGCTAAAAGACTCGACAATGCGATTTTCAGAATCACCAACTATCAACCAAATAGCCACCCGGCTATGCACGTGCTGACAATTATTGAAGGACCCACCCAGCCGTGACGTTTCCCTTGACTAATTTAAGTATTTAAAATACGGTTGTACCCTTGAGGAAGATATGTGATTATACCTGTTAAATTTTAAGAATATTTTGCCTTAGTACTGGAATAACGGAAACGTTATCAACTAGCAATCATTTGACGATAAAATTAATTTACACAGCAATAAAAAACAAAACTAAGGGTGCAGTGAAATTTCCTCAAAATTTACTCCCTTTCGTCCTCTGGCGTTGTGACAATTTTTTTTAAGAGCTAATGCGACTGCCTGTTCTAAGAATAAAAAATTATGCCAGTTACATGGTATTTTATCCCTTAGCTTAGATTTCAATTGCGAATTGTTTCGCGGAGAGCAAGGATTTTCTCTTCTTAGCTTTCATAAAGGAGAAAACTACCCTTGCAACTTACAGAGTTTTTGGCTTGTAAACATGTCTTCGATTTACAGAAGACACAAACTTGCCACTCTCTTGGCTTCGTGGAAGAGAATACTTGGGGTAACCTCTTATCCTTTCCCTAATAATGATAACTTATCAATCGGTCAAGGTCTTGATTTTGTGAAGTATAACTTGTGGTAATTTCTTGAAAACATGAATTGCATTGAAAATTTTATGACTCACTCAGAAGGTTTTTTTGTAAAGAGGTAATGCATTTTAAATAGTATAGGAACCCTTCGTGGTTTCTCACCTCTCTAGATATTCTAGACTAATATGCATTTACACTCAAAATATTAAGGATAACCTCAAATGTGTTGCGTCCTAGATAAATGGGAATACGTCATATCTTAAGTTTGCCCTTGTCTACCCGTAAAGGTTCTTATTGTTCATCGGCGATTTTAGACTAAAACTCTCGTCTCTCCCTGATGACTAGAATCGATAATTCTTTCATCTCCTACTTATAAGAACATTGCGGCTGTTGTTTTAACTTCCTGGTTTAGGAATATTTATTTGACTCGAAAGTAATTTGCTTTTACATAAAATTGAACGTCCATTATAGAATAGCCTTATCGTTAGGCTTATGTTCTTTGTCCAAGAAAGAACGCTGCGTCTTTGTTTTAAATGTATATTACCCTTTTGCCATGTGAATGTGTTCCTTGCCTTTGCCTTTGCATGGATCCAGCATGATCATCGCTTTGGTTAAATATTAGTACATAAAGTGGTTCCACGTAAAGTATGGATGTTGCCCATAAGCATGTATGCCTCGGTTGTGATACTGTTGTACTCCAACATGTGGATGGTAAGGCGAGGGCGGCTCACACATGCGGTAGGGAAACACGGGACAAGGAGCAGAGAATGCAGGGTTTTCAACAAGACTGTATCCACCATCCCAAGCGCAAGGTAGATTTTGTGGCTCCTTATGTCGTGAAAAATCTCCACGGGAAAAGTGGGCAAAGAATCTGGGATGAATCCGCCAGTAGCATCCACTCTTGTCCAAGGCCATTTCTCCTCGCTGAAAACACTCGTGGATGGAAAGATTGTGGCGGACTGTGTTTTTCCAGCGCACTCTGTTCTCAGTGAATTCAGGGTAGTTGTTTTGGATGAAGCTGTATATATCGGATAACGTAACCCTTTTTCTCGGTGAGCTTAGAATGGCATACGAGATGACCTCTATGTAAGACAAAGGGCACGAATTTCTCTTTCGCTTCTGCTTCTTTTGTTGCGTTTGAATCAAGGCTTTCTCTTCGTCTTTGGAGACACCAGGTACGGATTTGCGAAAACCTTCCTTCTGAATCCCTTGTTCTGCTCTTTTCATCTTGTTTTCCTTGTCCTCTATCTCTCTTCTTACTGGTAGCTTACAACTGATCAGCTCGATTTGCCAGCAATGCCAAAAGGTAACTAACTCCGCGTTGTATTTTATGGCTTGTTAAACACGCCTCTTTTGTTGTGTTATCGCACGTTTAATCAATATAGTCGTTAGTCACATAAACTTTGTGGGAAGGACTCAATCCCACAAAACAATAAAGGATGTTGAATAAAACATGTACTTCCATATCTGCTTGTTACCGGAAACAAATAACCATTGCATTAATTTTGTATACCATTGTTCCCGAAATTTCTTCCGCAAAATTTACCAAAAACAATTGATTGAATGTTTGTTGCGAATAACTATTCAACTTTTTTGCAGCCCCTAGTTTCATGATTCTGCCCAAGAGGAGGAGAAATAGCCACTCGCTCTCAATCTGTTAAGGGTACGAATTGAAATTACCCAAGCTTTGCGTCTATCGCGAAAATCCTGAATACATTCTCCACACTCTTTTTGAACGCCAGCTGTGCGAGGGTCCCTCGGCAACCCCCTTTTTTTTCTAACTTTTTATTTTTCTCTAAGCAACAACCAGCGACGAATTTTTGGCAAATTTCACGAAGAAAATGGAGACTACTGGTGTTATCTTTGTCATTTGATGGCATCTTAAACAACCATGAAAGTAATAGCTCGTTCCTATTGATGCGTGTCCACCTTTGCCGTCTTTAAGTGATATCAGTTTGTTCCGTACGGAAACTATAGTGCCAAAAAATTAATTGATAAATGGTGTGAAAAAATTTTTCATTTTTTTCTTTTTAAAGTTGACGTGTAGAAACATATTACATGTGAAGTTTTTGGCTCTGTTAATGTTTTAGCCAACGAGTCCAAGACTGCAAATCATTTTGATCACCAAATAAATGACCCATAAAAAAGCATTGAAAGATTATCAAAATATGATACAGACGATAAGTCACACAGATCTGATTATTTTCTATTATCTCGAAGAAATATTCCAAATATTATAGCCTTGGAAACAGTCCCCATCAGTTAGTGTTTTCCCAAATCCTTGCTGCGCTTGGATAACAGGATATTTCGCAAGTTTTTTCTTGTTTTAAATTCCAATAGTTTCAAAACGCTCTATTGAACAGATGCGTTGATGGTTTAAGAGAGGGCAGGCGCTCAAACAAAGACCACTATATTAAACGTGTCCTCTAGAGGAACATAGTTTGCAACTGTGAAACTAATTGTAGAAAATGATACATACAGAGCATAGCATGCTTTTTCGATGAAATATGGTTGAACTTATACGATATTGCAAGATCTACCAAGTGGCTCTGAAGATAGGATCATAAGTGTGGAAGGACTTCATATCATCTTGCACTTCAACGTCTCGCTAACTGAGAGCAATACTTTTTTTACAAAATGCCTTCTTGTTGCAAACAAGAAGGCAAAAACACAACTGAAAATATGTGTGCGAGGTAATAAAAATAGCAATTGTCTTTCAGGCGTGTTATTGATATGTAAAACTAATTGCGGCCACAAACGGCGTAAGTGGGCATTCATCTTACAGTACATCATGTGGTGGAGTACTGCTATTAACAAAAAAAAAATGACTTAAACGGTGAATATAATCTTATCTATAATCTTTCTCGGTCCAGTCGATCGTTTACAGTGACATCACGCGCTTGTCAAATAATCCATCGTTAGTTTCAGAGAAATACATGGTCTAAATCCAAGGAAAACGTAAGTGAATGACTTCAGAGTTTGGAATGAATAGGAAGTTTAGAATCGTATGAGCTCGAATACCCTCTGATTTAGAGAGATAACAAGCGTTTATTATACTTGGCTGTTTACAAACTGATGCCATTTGTGGGTGTTCTGCTAAATTCAGAAATAACAATGATTAAACACCCCTAAACCACAAACGTAACACAAACAATGGTTTCGTGTGTGTAATTTTAATCGAATTGTGAAATATAAGACGGTCCACGAGGGTCGGAAGTTGGAAGCGGGTAGATGTGGAATGGGTGGAAAAGATTTCGAGCCCTTACTGTCTTGGTGTTTGCGGTAGATCCAATAGCTTGTAAGCGAGCTCCCAGGTTAGAAGCTAAGGGAAAAAAAGATTCTACTCCTCAATTTCGCGATGTGCAAGTGGACGTTGCCAGGCGGTGGACCATGGATTGTAGAACAACATTCAACGTCAGTGAAGCATACAACAAAGCGTGACTTTTAATATTAGTAATTACGATATTCTGTTTAAATAAATATACATTAGCAGTGACTAGGTAAAGACAGCCCTCCGTTCATTTTTGTTATTTTGAAAGGGGTGCGTTTGTATCCGAAAGTTTGACCGTGAGTTATAAACCAAGCTAAAAACACTAAACTGACACAGTTGAAATGTCACAATAAACATATTTGTTGCAAAAAAAGTGGCGAACACAATACAGGAGGCAGTTTATTGTTTAGCGGGTCAAACTTGAGGTTCAATCCAACAGCAGAGCAGAGCGTTCGTCACTAGATCCTTTAGCAGTGAGTGCTTCTAAAATAATCAATGGTAAGGATCACCATGCAGTCTGAATCAAGGGGTTAAAAAAATAAAATTGGTAGGGAAAGAAACAATCCCTCCTCGAGTATCATATGTGCGCGGTGAAAGGTTATACTGGCGCCACGATGGCTATTACATTAAAATGCAATTAGGCCATGCGGTTTTGCAAGGGTTAAAAAAATGGAAAAGACTAGAAAAGGATATGTAAATTGTTCTGATTCAATTCGGTGAAAAGATTTAGGATATAGACGTTACTTTTGAAATGGGTTTGTTACTCTGCGCGGTCCCTGCCAGTAGCTCAAACGAATTCATGTTGTCACATTTTAACTTAGTGGAATGGTCAGCTCTTGAGCAAGAGTTCTAGGAGTCAGTTGGCAGGGCACCTTACAAGGAAAAGAGGCTGTTGTAGAGTCAAATCCTCTTTGGAAACTGATATTTTTCTCAGCTGCAAGTTCATGAAGAATAGTACGTGGTCTTAACTACGATGCTTTGCATTGCTTTTCAGAAATATTGGTCATACAGACATAGAATGATGGCTAATTGATATTGCTGGTAAGTTTACTTATGTGCTAGAGGGTTGTTTCCCAGTAAAGCACGGGTTCAATAGATACTTTAACTGATGAAACAGTCAGAACACGCTAGACAATTAACTCAAGGAACAAAGCGATCCACGCGACAGTGAACAATCATAAGGAAAGAAGGAAAAATAGCAAGAAAACCTAAAATCAGGTGAACATTTTGCATTGGGGCCAACCGTTAGACCCCTGGTTTTCTAATTAATGGTAAGGGTTAGTTGTCGACAGATGTAAGGAATCAGGATGCCAGAACCTCCAAAGGCTTTGAGATGTCTAAAAAAGGCACCTTTCCAAGCCAAAATACATGTAAGGGGCAAAACTGCATGATAATTAAAACACCACGTGTACCCGTAGCTGAAGTTACTTCTGACCTTCTTATCTAGAGGAAGGTCTTCTTCTTTCAGCCACGAATCTTCTCGTGGCTGAAATAAGAAGATTGACTTACTCTGGAAGGGTGTCGAAATTCTTCAATCGTTTTCTGGGCTAATTTCGTTTGACGATTGGGTCTTGGTGTCACAGCCGCTATGCGTATAGCAGGTTGTTTACCTGATGGCCCTTTGATGATCTATGACAGGTACACAGACAATTAGGATTTCATTATTTTGATGTCTAAAGATTGTTGATGTATTTATTCATGGATGAAGGAGGCGTTATGGGAAACCAAAATTCTTTTTCTCGACTTGTTGTATTGCTAGGAAGATTTCCGCAATATATTAGTCTTTCATGGGATCGCCTCTAATAGTTGTTATTCGTACGAAGATAGACGAATGTTGGACGATGAAACTAAATTAAATCAGTAATTGGCGAATAATTATACCGTCCCAACCGGAGAGTAACGGGTGCACTTTAAACGAGACCGAGACAGCTTTTAAACGTGCTGAGACAGCATTTTGCCCGTCTTTCAACAAAATTTAAAGTAGCCACTTCCACATTCTCCTACATTCCTGCAGCAGTATCAAATTTTTACCCTCCTTCACCACAAACAGGTGCCATGGAAAAAATTTTTTCAGTGATGGAATCGATGTAATCAATACTCTTATGATGAATAGGAATTAATGTCAACAGTATGATTTGGGATGCATCTTTCAAGTAAAACGTACCAACACTTCCGCCGACTGTCTTATTTAAACTTGAAAAGGCTCATTCAGACTCAAGAAGTCACACGAGTCGTTTAGAAGGCTCTAGACTATGTGGATGTCGTGGGCGTTGAAACTCTAAGTTTCCATGCACTTGCCTTAACTGGTTCGATTCCCTTGGATAGGTAATCTTCATTTTTCAGAAGGTCACTCTCCTGTCACTACAAGCGACTTTCCAGTAATCGTAAGTGATATAAAAGTGAGTTTACTTTGAACCTGCAGAGAAGACTATTGATGTATAACTGGGAAAAACCACCAACTTTCATAATGTTCTTTATAAAGGTGCTGGTAACTTCTTACCTACTACTGTGATAAGGGGTTTTTAAATAATAACCTGTTATTAGTTTCCGGTTCTTTTACCTTGTAACAGTGAAAGCGTGGGTCCAATTTCAAAGCTACACCCATTTTCTTATCATTTACACTTCGGAGTGGGGGCCTCTCGTGCCACGTGCTAATTTTTATCTTTTTTGCGTTGCCTTACTGGTACTATCGAGTATTCTTCTTTTTTTTTTTTTTACCATCAACGCCTAGAACAGGGCATATATTTTGATAAATTGCATCATCTATGCTCTAACATTGATGAAGTGTGAGCTTGGTAGGGAGAGTCAAGGGATAGGTGTGTGTGTTTAATATGGTGCGAGATGTGGTCTGAGGGGGCAGTATGTCGGTAGATCCAAAGTGATTGTATGGGCGCCAGGATTCATGTCTCTCTCATTAATTATGCCAAGGGTTTTTGCTTAAGGGTAAAATTGGAAATGAGAAAATCTTTTAAGTGTTAGTTTGAATTGATCTTAGTCGTATCACAATGAATTTCATTCCTCAATTTGATCTGATGAGTTTGTTTGCTATTTTTACCACAATTTCCTTTGAACAAAGTCACTGATACGTAACGGAAGCCAAGTTATTAATATTTATTGTTTCCATCCGGTCTGGCTCGCGCAGGAATCATGTAAACCTCTCCCAGCGTGTGGCTACATTTTAAATAGCTAATGCCTGAGGGGTGCAAGAAAACTTTTCAAAGGCGTGCGTCCAAATTGAGCCAAGTCCAACATCTTTAGATACTTAAGCAAGCAAAATAATTATGACAAGGGAACTTTAGTATTCCACTGCGAAATGCGGAGACATGGGTGAAAATGCCGGCTCAATTTCAAGTGGTTCTGAACACTGGGACTTAATAACGAGCAAGGATTACTCCTGTATCGGTGGATTCTATGGGAAAACCTGGATTAAATAGGAAGACATTGAGAAACAAAACATAATGACGAGCCTTGATCGTGCGAAGGAGCAAGACAGCCGTACCCATCGTTACTTAACTTGATATTTACTCTGCCAATTTTTGGTTTTTTTTGCATATTATGTCACCAAGTTTTCAGAGGGTCTCGGGTTTGATTAACGCATAACTCATAATAATGTAATCGCTTGCTATTGGACAGATGTACCATTAAAATTAATGAATAAAAATTGTAGAACAAGCAATGTAAATATCTGGGCCGCTATGGGAAAATTGAAATAACTTGACCCTCAATGAATGGCTCAATAATTTCCTGCCTGGCTGACAAACATTGTCAGTCTTGTTTTCAGAGCCTTCGTTGTCTTATTTGGCTTGGGAGGGTCCAACATAAGTTTGGCGGGATGCGAGATGAGGGTTAAAATCGAGGCGGGATTTGGGAAATGAGAAATTTTCAGGGCGAGATGTGGGATGAAAATAGGAAGATGAGACCTGGATATGCTCCGTTTTGAAGGCGGGATACAGGATGGGTATAGGCGGGATCGCAATTTAGCTCAAGTTACGAGCCACACCACCTCAGATACATCAAAAAATATTTATTTGCTTTACAAACGGGCTCAATTAATGCTCCCGTGTAAATTGGGGTTGACTAGTCTAAATGGCTCCGTAATATGTCCAGTTTTCTCAGTATATGTTACAAATGTTAATAGACCCACACAGCTCCATCGTGCACGTGTGATATAATTTTGCTCTCACGAGTATTTCTTGAACGCCCCTTTCTCTATGATATTACCGGCTCTTTGAAGGTTTGTCTTAGCGGTGGTCGTTGCCGTGGTAAATGCCACTTGCTCATAAGGATATTTTTTAGGTTTGGAACCGTTGGATAGTATTTTTTTACAAAGGGCATGATTCGATTGTTTTTCTTTGATGGAGGAGGGCCCGTTTACGTCCTTAAAAATTCACTTCTGAGAGTGTGGTTAATTAAGTTTTTCGGTTTGCCTCTCTCTTCCTCTCTCTGCTCGATGTGTTGTGAATTTTTTGTTTTGTTTTGAAGAATTAGCATTGAGGAGTCGTTACGCTCCGCCTTTAGTGAAGCCTTTGCTCCAGGTGGGTGACACGTCGTGTAGAACGTGTACTGAAATGTCTCTGTTCGTTTGAAGTGGGTTCTTACATTGAGAGCTCTTACCATGAAAGTAGCTTCTGAGACAGATTGTTGATTGATGATGGCTGGCTGGTGTTTATTTGCTTGAGCTTCGGTTCAATGAACTGTTTGACGACATCTCTGTTGGTGTGCTAAAGAGAAATTATGTCTTCGAAGTAGGGTTTCCAAACGAGCAGTTTTTTAGGTATATGTTTGGTATTATTGCACATAAGCTCGTAACTTCCTTTGAAACGAGTATCACTTCTTTCGGAAGCTTCGTTTTTTTTCTGTGAAGTACGTGAAGTTTGTTGTATCTTTGAGACATGACTTTTATTGTTGTTTGTTCGGCTGAGGAATTTGATAGCTTTTCTGGTATTCCTTCCGTGGGTGGAGTTTTTGTGTCTCACCTATAAGGACCATAAACAAACCGAGGAACAACTTTCTTTTAGGCCGGTCAAATAAGCCTTAAGCAAGTCTTTGCCTTTCTCCATAATCAGGAGAGTACATTATCAATATTGTAAAGGCTATAGTTTGTTCATCAATTTAAATAAGGCGTTGAAATAGAGAAAAATGCGTTTAACCCTATGGAATCGGGATGATAATGTCAATTGCGACAGAATGGCGGGATGGAATGAAAAATAGCGGCGAGATGCGGGATTAGAAAAGTCTATTTTGGACTCTCGCTTAAGGGTGCTAAGTCCCTGTTTAAATCCAATGTTAAGGAAAAAACTGAGAAAAGACCTGAAAAAATGTGCTCGCTTTTCTAATTTCAAGTTACTCCCATCTCGTCTAAAAAATCACAAGCAAACTGAAAACAGAATCTTCGTGACTGTTCAAACAAAGGTTGCTTGTCTTCTCGTTTATGTGATTAATTTAACAGGCAATATCAAGACTCCAAAAATAAGCCAGAAATTCGTCAATTTGTTGCCGAATTGAGCGAATATCAGTTTATTAACAAGATCGGCCTAGTATTACAAGTGTCTTACACAAAATGACGAACAAAGCTCTTTTCTTTCAATTCTGAGCTTAAGCTATCAAAAGCCAATATTGACTACCACGGTGTAAAAATATTCTCGTTAACTTAAATCTGCTCGATCAAGCTGCAGGGTTCATGAATTTCATCTGATCCAAACCTTAGAGCCCCAGTGAATCATTTCCAAGCAAAGAAGTGATGTTAACCATATCATAAATGTCAAAAAGAAAACGAACTGTCATATTTTTGCTAAAAATAGCGCTCTGGTATTCCATTTAGGAACGATCTAACTTATTCAATATTGCTTTCTCTTGCTTTACGCATTAGGCAATAAGTTTAATTAATGACACTTAGCCAGAGATTTGAAAAGTGAAATTAATCTTTGGAGGTACAGTAATTAGGTCTTATAAGTGGTTTTAAAATCTACACTGACGTCAGAGAAACAGGAATAGGATTGTAAATGAGCAGAAATTCCCGAACAGTGGAAGGAATAGCCCTATAGTCGGAAAACCTGGACTAATCTTCTCTTGTCCCTTAACTATCTCAGTGAATTAAGATATACGAAGAAGTTGAATAGGAGGAATGGTTTTCGATACTGAATTTGCGAACGATAAATCTGCCATTCTCAGTCAGGGAATAACTGTAGTTATACTCTTTGCGCTGGGAATGGTTGGCAACGGAATTCTCATGGTGGCTTATTGTCGGGATCATCGCATGCAAACACCAACCAATATGTTGGTTATAAGCCACATATCCGCCGAGTTTTTATTTTCTGTCAATGGCATTCTTGTTTACGGATCGAGTCTAATCCGACTTGAGGTTCTGGAAGGAAACCTCTGCATCCTCGCCGGCACTATCAACATGTTTTTGTTCTTCGTCTCTGTTCTCAGCTTGACAGCCATTGCCGTGGACCGCTACTTCGCTGTGGTGAGAAAAAGTCATCATAAGTTTACGAAGAACTTAGTGAGGCGTGTCGTGGTTGTTATTTGGAGCCAAGCTGTGGTATCCGCAATTCCCTGGGATTTGATTCTCATTAACAAGCCCGGAAAGAGATTCATCGCCTGGGTGCTAGGAAATTGCGAGAAATACCTCACTCTACGTGAGCATAACAACGTGCCCGTTATATCCTTTCGCATTGTACTTTGGTCATTGTCCTTCATGATACCGTGCGTTGTGATATTCTACGCTTCTGGACAAATTCTTCGAACTGCTCTCAATAAACGAGTTCGCGTCCATGTACTGGAGTATCCGAGAAATCCCGTCGATGCTTACTCAAAGTCTTCGTTCACAACGATCATGATAACAACCGTGTACTTCCTCTGTCTCATACCAAGCCTTGTATTGTATATTTTGAGAGAAGGCAGTTCCGGGTCGTACTACTCTCCAGCGGTTCATATCATTGCCAAGGTGGCTATGAGTTTCAGGTCGGTGTGTTATCCAGTGATTTTTATCGCTCGCAATCGGAAATTTTCGGGTCATGTTCGGACGTTTTTAAGAAAGAAATGCACACTTGTTCAGCGAACTTGTGCAGCCATGCGCTGTCGATCGCTCAACTGCCGACAAGGTGTAAGGCATGTGTATGAATGTCCTACTCATACGGGGCGCAATTCAATTCATTTTGGCATGAAAGGTCAAGCTTCCGAGCTTCAGGTTACGCCCTCTATGGGTATGCCACTTAGAATAGCTTTTACGGACTTAAAAGGTATCTCGGAGAATTCCTTATAGACCTGCAGGATCAGGAAGAGGTCCAACTAAACTCCGTTTTGAACCATTTTGAATCCTATCGAACCGTTTGGCTTACTTCGTCCGTTTTTCCTTTTTCCTCATAGATGTGATTGTCTGTGTCATACTGAGGTCAAATCAAAGACTGTCAAACAAAAAGAAATTTACACAAAATGGTAAATTGTTTCAAAGAAAAAGTCATAAAGTCACCGGTAAATCGTGGAAAATTTTTGCTTAATTTTTGTGTTACTGTAATTAATTTTAGTAGTGGGTTCGATATTTTAAGAATTTTTTTGAAATTTTTCGACCTTGGACGCCGCCATTTGAAAAGAACTCAACAGTTAACCTGGCCTCACACTCCTCAAATGGCAAGAAATCACAACGAGCGGTTTGCAAGCAGCGCCTGCTCTCATTATGGCCACAAATTCATTCTTGGAGTCATGAATACCTTTTTGTAGGTTCTTGTAGATTAACCAGATCGTCAAAAGATGGATTTTTTATAGGTAATAGGACCGAGTGGAGTCCAACTCGGTCTGTATTTATTAGAGTAAGTAACAAAATCGAATTTGTTAATTACGAGTATGATTACAGACAGAATTGGACGACACGAAGTTCTGCTTCCAATTAATCAAAACTATGACAAAAATTGAGAAGGAAACTAGACATCGGTTCTACGTTTTTATTAAAAAAAAAAACAACGACAGATAACTCGGCGAATTGTAAGAAAACACCGCACACACATGACGTGTTCTGTCCATTTACACGGGCATGACCTGTGAACTGTGCTTTTACCTGTCGTATTACACTGTCCAATCATAAGCATGACGCGTACACTGTCCTATCAGCGCTCAAATCGGGTTGGTGATAATTAAAAATGATATTAACTTAGCTACTTTATACAGATGTAAAGCATTCTGGTCCATGAGCAACGATACAATTAAAGATGGCGACATTTGGGTTACTGTGTCGAATCTTAAAACCCCACCGAGTGTTACTTTATAGAATTCGATTTCACCCTTTTTAACTGCCGACGTAAACATTGCATGGTCTCTTGAAAATAGTGCTGTGACGTAGCATGAACGGATTTCCTGAACTACCTTTACCGCGTAGCAATTTTCGTCACCAACAAGCAGAGGGTAATGCTGAGTCACCGTGAAGCCCAAGTGATATGTTTTGTGTAATGAGGCGTTTTTAATGGAGAACATGTTGTGAAGAAGTCTAGCGAGGTACTTTTACTAATTCAGAAGAGCTCATTCAACGGGAAACGAATCCACAAATAGATAGTATACTCAAGTGAAGGTCTGATGGCAACAGATTTCTATCATGCTCCGTCAAAGTTTACGAGAAGTGTCCTCACAACTTTTTGTTCGCCAATGTATATAGCAGATAATTTTTCAAGGTAAATGCAGCTTAAGGTTATCTAGATAGAGGATTGGAAGTGTTGTGAGTACGAGAAGCTGTAGATCCCTTTTTTTTTTAGACTGGGTTTAATGCTTGACGCTGATTTTCATTTCATTATAATCATTGCAGAGCCGACTATTTTAATGCCTATTTAATCATATTGAGACCAGCTGAGGTTTATTACCCACAAACAATATTTGATGGTTTTGCATGCGATGTTAATCAGGAATAATGCATATTCAGCACTTATCCCAGATGTTCGGTCACATGCTTTTAACTGTGACATTTCATTTCTCAACAGGCAGATTTTCGCGTCGGTAATTAGTAGATAGAAACAACCCCGTGGTGTGATGCTGTTACATTTTTTTGTAAAGATGTGCATTGGTGGCGGTTTTGGTAGGTCTGTTTGAAATATCCGTTGATAGATATCTAACCATTGTGAAAAAAAAGAGCGTTACAAAGTAACAAGAAGACAGTTCAGAATCTTTTTGTGCTCAATCTGGATTATGTCCGTGGCCTACGGGATTCCTTGGCGCAATGTCTTTCGTGGAACCATTTTTCAGGAATTATATCGCACCGATTTTTCGTAAATTATTTTTCAGAACTGACTGCAACCGACAAAGCCTTCCAGGGCGTTACATTCACCGTTTTCTTACTGGCGTTTTGCTTCATTGCTTTTACGAGTTGTTGCATCCTGCATACATCCGCCGCCGACCAGGAATCATTTGAACAAATAAAAATCACGTCGCGACGCTCAATCAAATCTGAATTCACTATGATTATCATAAATTGCAGTCTCTTTCTTGTGTTTAATACCATCAACTGTTCCTCTCTTCAAATGCGAAAGGAACTTCTTTCTTCACTGCGAGGCTGAAAACTAGTTTTTGATTCATTTTTCGAAGATTAGGTTGTGCTTTCGATCAGCTTGTTCCCCTGCCATTTTTAGAGCTCAAAGTCACAAATTTTCTAGGTACATTCGTGAGTTGTTTCACAGAAGCATTTGTGGCCGATATTAAATGACAAGTCGACGACAATCGTCAAAAATTGTTGACGTTTACCATTAACTGAGCACTTTGGGACATGGAACCTAGTGATTCCTATGCAATAAGTCTTTGGTTGACAGCCAAAGCGATCTGACCTTCATGAACTTGGAGAAACACTCTTTCAATAAAAAATGTAGACTTCATATTGCATAATACAAAATGTTATTCAAACATTAAGGCCGCGATCAACGAGTTTTGTACTTATTGCAACATTACTTTTTTTTTTGGAGAAAGTTTTTTTGTAATCCAATAGTATGATTAACAGCATATAATTTTTTTTACAAAATGAAAACCCTATCAATAACGTGTATCTCAACGCCTCGTAATGCGTAGCGGTCGATATCATGTATTAAAGCGTTTTAGCGAAGGTCTTCGTTTAGAAGTTCGAGCCTACTTTTCCTACGAAACGTAGACCTTATCATTAAGGTGTATTTTAACGACTTACACAGCATAGCGCCGGGGCGTAAAGATTGACTTTAACCAAAAAAAATTGTTCTGAAATGCTGTTTAATGTAACATATACAGATCAATTTGCAATGATGAACAAAGGCATTTGAAACAATCGTTTTATTGTCAGCCACAAATCCAGGTTGTTTTTTTTTTAAATAAAGCCTTGCAAAGCCTTAGAGGATGCTGCAACAGCAATAGTGGCTTATATCCAAGCGCGGCCATGCATGTGACATCCTCTATTTGATCTTGGCGTGTTTCGTGCAATATATACAGCGCTCGAACTTCCCCTCACAGCTTTGTCTTTCGCATGAAGTGGGCGCCTTTGAGGAAACTGAATTTCAAGTACTTTCCTTCCTCCGGATAAATAATAACATTTAAGTTCGATTTCAGTGTTGAACTTTAACCTTAGTGCCACCGTGGAGGTCTCCAATGACAAATTTAGTCTCTCGGTTGTAAATAATAATCTGTAAATAACACGATATGAGTTTTGTAGCTAGATGATATTCTTTCCCATCTTTTATACAGTCTTTTTAAATGTGCAACAAATGTGTTTTTGCTTAATGTGCGTGACTGCGAGACGTTTACTGTCATATACAAATTAGTTTAAGACGTGAACTTGTGCATCACGCTTGTTTACAGATGTTGGACGAAGGCACAGACAGGAAGATCGAGGCACAGTCAGTATGACGTCATTCTGTGTTCAGTTATTATTCGAATCGGAAATTTTTACTTGATTTTCTTTTAGATCTCTGACGCAATGCTTTGAATTAGTGAAGCTGTTTGGGACAGTCTTCTTGTCGGTGCGTATTTTTCGGGCGTGTACTTGTTCATTGGTAGCCGTTAAGCTGTTGTATTATTGATAACCTTTGAAACCACCTTACAGTGGCTGAAATCCATACCCGTGTTCAGACAAAATGCTCAAAAAGTTACACCATATGGAATGACACTAACCTATTTACTTAAGATCATATGGGGAAATAGCCTTGACCCATTCCATGGGCCAAGAACGGCAAAGTATGGAGTAATGAAATCGTTCTAGGTGTGACGCAGACGGCATGTCTCTTTACTAACGGCTTAGGATTATGTCACGCATAGGTCTGCTTTTGAGACGAGGCCGAGCTCTGACTTTGCTTATAAATCATTGATTATATTTATTTTCAATACAAGTTGCTTTTAAAAAACGATGAAAACGCAAAGAAATCCTAAATGGGGTCGACTACAACCATCCTACGGAACAAAAACTGACCCGTAGCTGCAGTATGTGTTCCGCTTGCGTCACATGCGATTCATAATTATGACATAGATACCTTGATGACACAACAGAACTTCCCCTGCCCTACTGAGAGCATAATACCTTACCGCATACCGTATTGATTACATGATTATCAGACTAATTCACTAAACCTGCTCGTGAGAGATAATTGAACACGCGAGGAAGTGTTTCGTGTGATATTTATAGCACTCGGACTTCCTCTCACAGGTTTGACTCTCGCATAAAGTCGGCGCCTTTGAGACATAGATCGAATACTTTTAATGTTCTACTTTCGTTTTAAACTTGATGGTAAATGCCATCAAAGGGGCTCTTCAGTTATGAATTGTGAACAAGTTGTGAGATTTCTCAGTGGGAAACTGAAGAAATATTCTCTGAACCGCAGTAAAATCTCTATTATATAAGATTGACAATTTGACACCGTCTTGTGCACGAGTCACGTTTTGCCTTCGGGTGATGACAAATTAATTCTATAAAAGCTGAAGCTTAAGGGGTTGGGCAATAACACCTCATTTCATTTTTTCTGCGATCGCCAGTGTAGTGACATCTTCAATGCCGAATTCATGATGCCGCTGTGGAAAGCTTTTGGCCTGATTACACTGCTTAACAGTTTTGTATACTCAGGTAAGGTTTCACCTAGCAAAGTCAAAGAGGACTGTAAACAGGAAACGTTTCAGACCGAATAGTGCTTGTAGCAAAGGAAATAATCCTTTACTCTTGCAACTGATTCTTCAGCTGACAACCTTTAAACTCAAACTTTGTCACCATACTCGGGATTCAGAAGAAAGAGGAGCGCATGCATTCAGCAAATATACTCTTGGGTTGCAAACCCAGCGGGAGACTTGTGTCTTTGCAAAAGAGTTTTAATTTATACCCCGTGTCATATTCGAATCATACTCTTTTGAGCTATTGACGCTCGTGCCACACAATTGCTTTTCAAAAAAAAAACACAAAACATGTCCAGGTTGTATATTATTATTTGTAAAGCATGATATTTATTTTGGCGGAGTTATATGGTTGCTCTGATAAAACATAATTAATTAGTGTGATAACTTCAGACTAGAAGTGGCGGCTTTATATGTCAAAATGTACGATGTTCTTTTTGACTACATTTTGTTTTCTGAGAAAGCGGTAACTTTCTGAGAAAGCGGAACTTTCTGAGAAAGAGGTAACTCTCTGTGAAAGCGGAACTGACGTAATGTTTCCTTCCGGTTTGCTCAGTCCTTTAGACGACAAACGACACAGTCTTGCCTTAAGACATTGCAAATTGAAAACAGACTAACCCATGGAACGAATTTGAAAAATAATCAATCTTAAAGATCGAAAAGTTGACTCTGGTAATATTCCCTGCAAAAAAAAAAGAACAAAACAAAAAAAAACAAAAAAAAAATCTAAAGCTATGCTGATTATGCCAGCAGTGTTACTTTTATAAAAATAGCAAAAATGATGCTCATGTTCCAAATTATACCAAAATTATGCAAGCCCAATCTTTAGTGCCCATTCCCAACCCATTTCACGTCTTCTGCGAAATCACTATTTTTCACGCTAGCATCTCCCGAACCATAATGAAACTCCCTCTGCGACTTCATCGACCCCAGTTTTTTACCAATCTATTCTTTGTCTTATAGATAATCACGTTCTTTCGCACTATTGTAGTTCAAGCCTATCGTGGTACTCCCTTCAGCGACGAAATACCTATTTTAAATCATAAACTTTCTCTCTCCCATCTGTTTTATTCTGAACTCTCCTGTCTGAACTTGAAGTCAAATCACTTCTTTTTTGTTGCGCCATCTATTTTGCTTTCGCGTTGTGGTGTATTTTATTGCTAGAGTTCCGCCGACCTAACTTTTTAAAAGCGAGTCGTCAGAGCCAAAACTAAAATAGGAGAAAATTTTTGTTTGGTTTATCAGCTACCATATTAAGGCTCCTTAGGCGAATTAAAATGAATGAGCAAGCACTAAAAAAGATGTGCTCGAATTTGGTCGGAGCTAGTTGAGTTTAAAAAGGTAAAGAGGCCTCGGTGGCGTTCTCTTGAGCTTCTCTCCGTGACGTGTTAGGGGTGCTACTAAACAGAGTAACGCAGTAACGAGTAACGGCACCATTTGGACGCTTTAGGAGCAATCTTGTTAGGGTAGACCGGAAAACACATGGGATTGTTAGTTATAACTTGTGATCTTCACCTTGAACACCCGAATTTCTTATTTAAAACTTACTTTTAAATTTTATATTGAGCATCGTTGAACAAACAAAATCCAAGGTTAGGGGCGAACCTAATACTATTGTGGATCGCTTCGATTGTCTACGATCTGACGTAAAACGAACCGTGGAAGCAGTTGAAGGTCAATGGCCGATTAAATTGATGAAATAATCTTGTTTACAATTGCGGCTGGATACATTGGTTATTGAAACAATGCTAATTCAGCGGACGAGAATAATCGTGTGCTTTTCAAAATTCGTAGAAATTGACTGTCGCGTATCGTTATTTCACTCAGAAAAAAGGAAAACATTTGATACATTCAGAGGTATATCGTTTCGAGGCAGAAGACAAAAAGGATTCGTTTTCAATTGCAAGCAAGAGAAACTTTGCACGAAGGAGGGTAGGGAAATACCTGTACAAAGGACTAAGATAGTCGCGTTACTTCGCATAAACAGTGTATTTGCAGGTGAAATGATATCAAGTTTCAAAGAGAAGACTGTGCACTAGGCCTTGGATACGCCGAGGGCGGTACTCAAGACAGAGGGCGGAGTTTGTCCCAATACAGACCGACCTACACTCCCAGAGACACCTCTTTGAGGTTTTTTCACCCACCCCCCCTTCCTCATCCAGTGTTGTGGATGACCAATGTTTCTATGCTAATCCCCTTACCCCCCCAGTGGAGGCAGTACGACGAGTCCCACTATATGGTGTCTTAGATTGTAGACGTGTGAATGAAATCATTATTTTTTTTCTAAAACGCAGCGTTTACCGAAAGAAACCGAATGATTTTGTGTTGTAATTATGGCAAGATCTCCATAAACTGAAGAATTTTTGCAAATGGTAAAGAAAACAGAGGATATGAATTCATCGAAACATTTTTAGGACCTGTTTACATGAAGGTGGAGGCCCCCTAGTAGGTGGGGTAACCCGGCTAAACGTAGTCGAAAAATAGCCTGCGTTTACATACGATATTACAATCTACGGGTTACACCCCCTTGACGGCTTACCTCACCTGCCTGAGGTCCCTCAAGTACATATAAACAGGCCCTTATTTATGTATTGTTAAAGATGTTACAGCTTCCAAGCAAACTTTGAGACATTTTCATGAGTATCTGTCACGATCTGACACCTGTCAATATGAGAGTGCATAAGAAGAAAAAATAGCGCACGTTCACTCTTGAATTCACAACAGCACTGATTTGGCAAACAAACTGGAGTTAATGGACTATCGTGACGATTTGTTCTTCAAATTAGAGTCAGCGATCGTACAGAAAGTATCATTCACTTCCATCGACGATTAATCTACGAGGATTTACCCTTGTTTAATTTTAGGTGGCAAGGAAAGTCACTTTAAGTAAATATAAATGTAGTTTGATGCTACTCTGGTTTGCAGATTTAATGAATGTAACCAAAGAAGTTTGGGTCTATGAATTGTAACTTCTTCGGTTACATTCATTAAATCTGCAAACCAGAGTAGCATCAAACTATGTCTGATTGTCCACCTGGTTGCCGTGTGAACTTTAATATATTTTAAATGTAAATGTATTTCTTGAAGTTATGAGAGTCTGTTCGTTTGTTTGCTTCCATGGCATATGTCAATCCTGTGTTTCTTCCACCCAAAACGGAGGCAAATGAGACACTT